ATTCATTTTTGTATCCAATAATTATACACAAATTATATTTGAGGTAATTGAATATTTATTTTAAAAATAAAAATTATTGGCTCGAATAAAATTTATTTTATTCAAATAAAAATTATTCAATTAAGTAAATATTAATTTCATTATTATATTAAATAATTATTTTACTTTTGAATCAATTCAATCGATTATTTAAATCTAATAAATTTTTTTTCAGTAAAAAATTTTAATTACAAAATTTATATAAATAAATATAATAAAATAAATAAATTCTATTGAAAATTAATTATTGAATTTACATGTCATGTCAAATTATTATTTAAATATTTATCAATTTTCATTGAATATTTTTTCGACTATAATTTGTCTAATTTGACAAGTTAATTAATTAATGTTTGATTAATAATTATTTATTTATTATTTTATAATAATTTTTCATTAATAATTACACTTTAACAAAAAAAGCAGCAACTAGCCAATTTTAACTATATATAATTCAAATTTAGAGATAAAATTTTCAATATTAAACAATGAAAAAAGGAAAATTAAAGATAAAAATAAAACAGAAATGTAAAGCACGAATATAAAATAAAAAAAAAATTGAAAAACAAAAGGAAGAATATATAATTTTTGAGATGCTCCATATGTAAAACGCATGGCAATTGGTGATAAATACGACCATATTTTTAGACATAATTGTCAAGCAATTAACCAGTTTTCAATTAACCACTACTTAAAGTTCAAATCTAGGACAAATAGGTGACCAAACAAGATATACCAGAAATTATATCGTGTGTGGAATTCTACCTTGAGCCTTTAGTCTTATGGGCAATTTTATCATATGCACAACCGCGTGTGATACAAAAAATCACCAAGCAAAAGAAGAAAAATTAACGATATTCGTAATTATTGGATATGAAATAACCCGCACTTGAATATATATATATATATATATATATATATATATCGCATTTTTTGTATATATTACATATATACGCACAATGTAAATATATACATAAACGTTGCAACTATATACACGTGCAAAGTATATAATTGTATATATATTCTATAATCACAGTAGCTATGCTGCACGTAAAATTAAGATAAGTCAGATTCTCGCTGCTCATAAATATTTGTAATTGTTTTATCAGGGAATAATTGGTGTGGATAAGAACCTCGTGTGGACTCGGCCACGATTATTTTTCCACAATCACAAGGCGCGCACGTTTGGAAAATAGAATATAAGAACGAGGAAATATCGTTATTTCTCGTAATTACAGATTTATTTTTCCTCCCCTTGGCTAATGCCAGATAATAATCTTTCAGAGATTTTTATAAAAATGATGAAAACAAAAAAAAAAAAAAAAAATAGCCGATGCAATTAAAAAGGGTTTGTTATAATTTTTACAGTTTCACATGTAAATATCAATAAGAAACACGATAAATTTCAATTCAATGTAAAGAAATATTTCATAAAAAATGCTTTGTATAAAATATAAAATATATTATATATTCATGACAATAAAAAATTAAAATAATGTTTGCATACCTCGGGTAATGAAAATATCGAAACCTGTCACTTCACATCAGATGGAAAATTGATTAATTTACAATTACTGTATAATATGTAAATTAATAGTCGTTTAACTTCAATAAAATTACTTTTCACTGTTTTAAATAATACTAATTAATTGTTTTAACTGAACATTATAATTATACACTTGAGGTACACTTGTACAAAAGACAACATTTTGGCGGGGAGTTCGCCATATATTTGGGGTTATGTTAGTTCGTCCCCGTATGAAGAATCAGAACCGGAAGTGTTCGCGTCACGTGATATTCATTGAGTGGAATTTTTAAATTCTAACGCTGCTATTGGTCGAAATTTGTCTAGTGAATTGGACTGCTGATTAATCGAAACAGACGGAACTGAACCATCAGTTATTTTCTGCTTGTTTACCAAATGGTAATTTACTTATTACCGATATTTATTTTACCGACTTCAAATAATAATTACATTCTAATACTTCCGTTGCTCATCTAATTTTAATGTACCTATTTAATTAGGTTTATTATGTATGTTTTTAATTAAATAACTAAAAAAAAATTAACCTACCCTACTTGATAATATTTACTTATTTAATAATATTAATTTCGACAAAGTCTGCAAGAGTGTAATTATAATTGTATAAAGGTTATGGTCGCTTAAAATAAATAAATATACTTTAGGAATAGTAATAATATTAAAAAAAGAAATCCCTAATTTGAAAAACTTTATAAAAATTAATACTATTAAGAAATACAATTAATTATATTAATTGCATTATATTCATACATCTTCAATTACGATATATGACAATTGCAAATTATTCATATTATATACCTGTATTGATTAACTTCTTGATGTTAAAAAGAAATTCTTTATTCTGTTGTCCTTGAATTCACCTCTTCTAATGCAAAAAAGTGGGAGAAATGCATGATTGCTACATTAAAAATTTTTCTTCAAGCGACACAGATCCTACCTTGAAGACTTCCAAGATGGAACTGAGCGTGCGCTGTGGGGAAATTTTATTTTATACTCCGAGTTCTCTGCCGCTTGGTCTGCCGTGCGCTGATTGGACGGGGCACTCACTGCAGAAGCGCTGATTGGCAGGCGCTCTTAGTGCCAACGTCTATAAATATAGGTCGTTTTCTCCCACCACTTCAGTGAGCAGTTGACTTTTCTAGACGTAGGATCTGTGCTGCTTGAAAAAAATATTTTTTCACTTTTATTTATTGATGGGAATGGACAACAATGCATATGAAATACCATTTACAACTATAAATACAGGCTGTTTTTTACAACCACTTCAGTGAGCAGTTGACTTTTCAAGACGTAGGATCTGTGCTGCTTGAAAAAAATATTATTTAGCAATTATTTATTATTGGAATTGGACTACGATGCATATGAAATACAACTATGTATTCTTATTTTGGAATGAAAACTTTTTTATGAAAATTATATTTCTCAACCTCCATTATTTAGCATTATTGTTTGAAAAAGGAACATTATGCGAAATTTACAGGTAAGACACCGTATTTTAGGTTATGTTACCATATAATTCGTGGTGACAGTTGTAAACAGATTTTATTAAATTAGTTTTTTTGTTAGAAATTAAAGTAAATAAAGGTTATAATTGTTTATAAAAAGATATTTGGGGAGATTAGTATAAATATTTAGATTTATTGGCATAAACGAATAAATACTATTTATTGAAATATTATTTCGTAAAATACATATATTAAATTGCCATTTGCATTTCGAAATCTATAAATGTGTTATCATAACCTTATCTTGTCAACTTTCTCAAATTAGTCAATTATATCTCGTATATGTAAGTATATATATATATAAGATTGCTACTTAGTATAAAACGTTAAATATTTATTTGTTCAACATGAAATTATTTTTAAGCTAAACGTTAAATATAATTACATTTTATAGAGAATAAGAAATTAATAGTTGACACATTAGAGCAATGTATAAATGTCAATTATTGCTGGAATATAAAATTACTTGTTTTTACATTAAAATATATAATTGTTAGCTAGAAAGCGCATTAAAAAAAACTTAGAGAATTAAAATTTAAAAAAAAACATTTGCTTCTTTCGTAATACTTTTCTAATTATATTATATTTAATAAACGGTTAAAATAATTGAATTATTTAACCTATAATTCCATGTATTTTAGAAAAATTGAGAATTTTAGTAGATTTATTATACACTTATCTCATATTCGGTGTTGATAAAAATTTCCTAATTAAATCACTGTCTCATTTATATTAAAAAAAAAATAAATATTTATTATTTGAATATTATGCACGTATATTTATTAAACGTATTTGAATAATTAAATTAAATAGTATAAACAATAATTCGTTTTTTTCTAATATTTATAATATTTAAATAATTATTATTTTATTTACACAAAATTTTGATTCTAATTTTTGTTAATTTAAATTTTATTATATATTTTATTTTATAAAATTCTAATATTTAAAAAAAAAATTATTCACTAGTGAAAATTTAATTTAGCTTACGTATAATAATTTTATAATTATTAATAAATAATTCCAGGACATTTTTTTTTTTATTTCGACAATTAATGTTTTATATTTTTTTAGATTATTACTGCGAAACCAGGAAATTACACACGCCATTTTTCATCATAAATCTTTGATAATATGACCATATATATACTTCAAGGATCAGCTACTGCAACTGTCGACAATATGTTAACGGAGTAAGTTTTTTTTTAAATATTCCAAATTTCTAAAATTTAATAATTACAAAATTAGCATAAAAATTATTTCAAAAATAAACGCTATACGAATTTTCTATATATGTATATGAAACTCAAAAACTTTTATAACCAAAAATTTTTATACTACACAAATAAAATATTCTGAAATAAAGAATATATATATATATTTGGCACTAATTTTAGAATATATTTTTTTAATTTATTCTAAATTTAAATAAAATAAAAATTTAAGAATAAATTATAAAAATACTTTAAAAAAAAAGAAGTAACAAGTTTTTATTTATAATTTTCAATATTATTTTTTTTGTGTATATTTATGCAAATTTCCGTCAAAGAAATAATGTTTAATTATATGAAAATAATCTGACATATTCCCTGAACTCATTAATTTTCCAATCATGAAATATATTTGATTTTTGATAATATTTTATAAATATCAATGATTTTAATTATTATTATTATTATTTTTTTTTAAATATAAATCTGAAGAAGAGGCGTTCGTAAGTCTTATTTCGTGGGCGTAAAACTCCGCCTTCTTTACTATCTCTCTAAAGAAACGCCTAGTCGCATGTTTTAACTTTTAAATCCCACCTTCAAGTTCTTTTCCTTTTACACAACATACAATTCCCCTCCTTATTATCCTTTTTTTTTATTTTACTCTTTCCCTCCCTCTTTCACGCCAGCAAAAGGTGACTGTCCAGGACAGTTTCAAAGTTGCAGCCAACGACTGCACCACGTCCTACTATTTATCCAATATATATATATATATATATTGCTCTCCTTTTTTAAAACGCGGGAAAACACATAAATAACGCGAGTCATTTTAATGTAAAAAAAAAAAATTATTTTCTTTTTGTGCGTTGATAATGAAAAAAAAAGTTAAGTGTCATTTTTGTGAAGTGATCGCAACTAAACTGAATTTGTATAATTAAAAAAAAACTGTTCTATAGTTTTAAATGATTAATAAATTTAAAAATCAACAGTGTGTATGAGAAGGCATTTAATTTCATAGCCCAGGAGGAATTACAATCGATATATAAGGATTAAAACAGGATCAATGGATTAGTGAAATTGTTGTCATAACGAGGAAATTAGCAATAGAGGATTAAATATGCAAATTCAATTTTCTACTGATAATTATCATCATTGCGAGAAAGAATTTTCAATTTTTTAACAAAATCGTAATTAAAAAATAAATAATTATTAAAGTTTAATGGAACTGTTATTTTGGAAAAGTTTAGAAAAAATCATTAGGAAGAAAAAAAATTAAAACGCAGCAGTGAAGAAAAGTTTAAATAACAAAATATCATTAGAAATGTAAACAAAAATCAAAAGGAGAGGAGGATTCAAGAACATTAAGAAAAAATTATACATATATATATAGTAAAATTTGAAGATCATTACTTTATAAAACAAATGCTAAATATTTTCAGTGGCGCAATGTGGAAAAGCTAAAAATATAAGTAATTATAATTGGAAAATTTGGCTAAATATCATTATAGTAAAAAAAAGATAAATATAAAAGTCTATAAAAGAAAAAGTAAATGCAAAAATAAAATTAATATCAACAGCGATAAATATACAAAGTTTAGCCTATAATGGTGAACATTTATCAAAATCATCGCGATTATTCTCGCAAAGGATAATTCTCTGCGTCAGCGAATGGAAACCGTCGGCGCTTAAGTTTTGAAAATTTAAAATCCTTTTTTCTTCCCAATAAGTAAATAACAAAATTAATAATATATAATTTTAAAAAATTGTTTTTTTAAAGAAGCATAAGATCGCTAAAATAAAAATTTGTATAGAGAAAAAAAAAATATTTTTTGTGGTAATTTTTTTATTTTGAATTTTTCTAGACACATTTTTTTGATATACCTAGAGTTAGCGAATCAAATATATATACATATTATAACGACGAAGAAACTTACTTATCGCGGCGGAGAGTTCTTGTGTGCGGCGCGAATAAGACTAATTAATTACCGGCGGCTGGGCGGTCGCGCGCGCGACAATTAATTATTTAAATAGACTTTCAAGTCGTGTGTGAGAAACGAAGACGAAGAAATTATTCGAGAAGGAAGCGATATATATATATATGTATATATATACATATATCCTTGACAAACGAACAAAACGAAACCTATATATATACGTGTGCGGAAAAATTGCACGTGTTTAATTTACCGCGACTTAGTTTATCGGATTCAACTGCCGATGTCGGCCATGTCAACCTCAAACTGATTATACGTGAGTATATCTCCTCTTCAGGTCATTACTCTGGTATTTACCTTCTCCTATATAGGCTTATAAATTTATTTACTTTGATTTAAAACAACAATAAGACGCGCACGTATGTCCTCCTTCATCAGATTTATTTTATTTTTCATCTTTTTCTAATTATTTTAATCAATTTTTTTTTTATAATTTATATTGTTTTTATAAACCATACATATACTATATCTTTAATTATTTGATTCAAATAATACTTGACTATTATCAAATAAATATTTATTTATTTCAAACACAGAAATTATTATTTTAAATATACAATTTATTTATTTCAAATAAATGCGTTTATATGATAATAGGCAAGAAACTGATTATTTAAATCAAATAAATTTTTCTTTTCATTATCTAATTAACAAATTTAAATAAAATTTATTTTATAAATTTACTTCAAATTCTTATTATAAATTTATTTTAAATTTTTCTCAGAAATTTAATTAAAATTTCTATTATAAATTTGCTTTAAACTTTTATTAAAAATTGAATTTTTTAATTAATTCGATAAGAAAAAAGTTGGATTTTTAAAAATGCTTTAAAAAAAAAACTCGGTAACGAAAAATTGGATGAACAGTTTAAATTTTCGGATTTTTAATTAAAAAAAAATATTTCATTAGTAAAAGTGTGCGAGTAATATTATTTTAGAATAATTAAAAATTGTAATTGTGTAAAGTTTAAAAAAAAATATTTACACACTGAAAAAAAATTTATTTGATTCAAATACGTGTATTTGGTTATTATCAAATAAATATTTACTTGAATCAAATATATACACGGAGAAAAAAGATTTCTTTTATAAAGTAACTTTTACTACTTTCAGAGTAAAACTGGACCAACTCGAAGTTTCTGCGCATCTCTGGCAATTTTTACTCCAAAAATAGTAAAACTTACTCTAGAAATAGTAAAACTTACTACGGAAACAGTAAAATTTACTACAGAAATAATAAATTTTACTATTTTTGGAGTAAAAATTGCCAGAGATGCGCAGAAACTTCGAGTTGCTCCAGTTTTACTCTGAAAGTAGTAAAAATTACTTTTTCTTTTTCTCCGTGTAATATTTGAATCAAATATTTCAGTATTTCAAGAAAATACCATTTATTTGATTCAAATAAGAAATATTTGATTCAAGTAAATATTTATTTGATAATAACCAAATACACAGGTATATTTGAATCAAATAAATTTTTTTTCAGTGCAATTATGAAAAATGATTATTAAATTTTTATATGGTTTCAACTAAATCGTTTGCCTATTGTCAAAAAAAAAAAAAAAAACTTGAATTCTTATTAAAATGCAAATTGCAGAATGTAAAAAAAATTAAATTATTCATATATATACTTAGACATAAATAATTACAAAGTTTTATATTGTTTCTAAATTAATTAATGATTCAAAAATAAAAAATAATTTTTATTTTTATTGTTTGTCTGATTCTTCCTTAAAATTTTGAATTACTATATTAAAAAATTAAAATTTACGGTAAACGGAATATCTCGCATATAGATAATAATAATAATAATAATAATAAATAATTGAATAAAATACTGTCTTTATTAAAGTTAGAAGATATATAAATTTATGACTAAAATTTGAGGATAAATGTAAAATTAAATAACCGTTTGCTGATAAATTTCTAGCACTTTTGCAGTCATAAAAAAACAATTAGACTTCAATTCGTTGAGTAGTTCATTACAAATTATACAATTCATTTAAGCAATTGCTGTTAACACTATATATATATATATAAGCGTGTTGTTCAGTAAATAAGTATAGTAATTCACCATTTTTATAGACACTAAAAAAAAAGTTTATTCTTTTAAAGTATAATTTAAATTAGTTAAAATTTTAACTTTTCGCTTTATTTAAAATTAATTATAATAAATTAGTAATTTTTTTCTTAACTATAATTTATTTTTGAAAACATTTAACTATAGTAATTTTATTTAGCGCAAATAAAATTTTTATTTGAAACAAATAAATATTTATTTGACTCTGAGATAAATATATGTTTTCTATTCATAATTTTTCAATATTCTTACGTTAAGAATACATTTTTATTATATTGAAAAAATATCAGCTCTTCTTTGTATAATATATAGTACAGAACTTAAATATATATATATATATATAATATAAATCATGAAATAGCGTGCAATATATGTTTTATCAGCGGCAGGTTATTGCGCGATTGGAAATATGAAATATTTAACTACGTAGCATGACATTATATATTCTTATAACGTTAAAACATAATATAAAGAACGACAGAAATTTTCTTATCTAGTCTACCATTATCTACTGGAAAACTAAAGCTTTATAAATATAAAACTTCAAAATAAAATAACCTAAATGTGATATTTAACGGTGTAAATATATTACAATATTTATTACCAATTTTAATAATAATAATATCAATTTAGAAAAATTTTCTTTAAATTTACATGTTTTTTTTTTAATCGTCTTTTTTCACTGCAACATGTTTATTTAAAAGAAAATTATTTTTAAAAAAAACAATTAAGATTAAGAAGAATTATTCCCATTGATAAAAGAAATTCTCTCCTACCATAGAAAAATGTTTCTTTAAGAGGAAAGAAAGAAAAGTTTTCTTTGATTTAAAGACAATTTTTTTGATTAAAAAAAAAACATTATTTAAATACTTTTTCAATTTACAAAGTTTTATTTAGAATAAAAAATTTTCTTTAAATCAAAATAAATTTTCTTAAAATTAAAGAAAACATTTCTTTCATCCTACACTCAGAGAAATGGTATATTTGTCTCCGAGCCTATACTAACTCGCATTTATTTGTTGCTAATATATTTTTTTTCAATGAAATAAAAAATTTATTTGAGCCAATAAAAAATTTATTTCTGACAAATAAAATTTTTATTTACGCCAAATAAATAAGTTAATATAGGCTCTGCGACAAATATACATTTATTTAACTAAAATATATTTTATTTGATTCAAATAAATCATTTCTTTGGGTGTATATCAAAGAAACTTTTCTTTGATTTAAAGAAAAATTTTTCTAGGTGTAAATAAAGAAAGAATAGCGGATAAACAATCGGTACAAAAATTGATATATTTTTGCTATTATTAAATAGAAAAGAAATTTATTTTGATTCAAATAAAAATTATTTGATACAAATAAAAATTTATTTGATACAAATAAAAATTTATTTGATACAAATAAATATTTATTTGATAACAGTCATCGATTATTTGAATCAAATAAATTTTTTTTAGTTACCAGAAATAATTAGAAGTTCGCAACTGACGCAATACCATTACTGCGCCAGTAGTCGCAATTTTATTCAACGTACGATTTTATTCTTATATGAGTCAAGATATATTCTTCAATTAAGAGTATTTTTCAGTGATGAATTTTAATTAAAAAATAAATAATTATTAGAGTAAAAGGTAATTTTTTTTTAGCTTTTATTCTTCAATTAAAAATTTTATAAATATATAGGAATTATAATTTTTTTTATAAAAAAAGCTATAGGATATTTAGAGAGAATAACAAATTAGTTTCCACTATCACAATTTAAATTTATATTGTATAATGAAATTTGTGAGTCTTCGATAAAATGAATATTAAATTTTTGTCGTATCTGGAAAATTATTTACACACTCAATGAGCTTAGGTACTAAATGAATCAAGTTTAAAAAAAAACCACCCCTTTATTTCTAAAAACACTTATATAGACAGAAGGTTTATGACTTTTGTCTAAACTATGAAGGTTGTTTTTGTGTGTATATATATATATATACGGAAAGAAGCAACGAGAGTCAATGGATTTTAATTTTTCAAAGATACTATATTATTATGTAGATTTACAAATATAAAAAAATTGTTTATATATATAGTCGCGCAAGATTTGTATATAAATGTGTGTATATGTTGTCTATCAGTGAAGCTGAAAATTCGTTGAGGCATGGCGGCACCTTCATGGCTCTCTCCAGTCATCTTATCTAAATAGCCATTTCCCGCAGAAAAATTGCAGATAAGTAGTTGTATACATAAAGTACCTCATGAATTCTATTTATTTACGCACCAACACCCGTATATGGACACTTTAACCTCATACATGTGCCATATTCCAATATTCTTCTTCTTTCCTCTGCTATATATATATATATATACAATATCGAGACTAATTTTCCAAATTCAAAAAACAATTGACTCTTCTCATTTTTTCGTTTTCGATTGGTTTTCGAACGAAAATCCTATTCCCAAAAAAATATACAATTTTTTCTGTCAAAACATTCCTCTTACTTTGTCGCATAATACTGAAAAAAAAATTTATTTAATTCAAATAATCGATTACTATATATTATTAAATAAATATTTCCTTGAATCAAATAATCTTTATTTGAATCAATTAAATTTTATTTGTTTCAAATAAAAATTATTTAATTCAAATAATATAATAGTATAATATAATAATATCAAATAATAATTATATAATAAATAATTATATTAAATAATTATATTAAATAATTAATTATTTGAGTCAATTAAATTGGTATTTGATTCAAACAAATTTTAATTAATTCAAGTAAAATATATTTGATCCAAGCATAAATATTTATTTATTTAATAATAATCAATAATTTGAATCAAATAAATTTATTTTTTTAGCGTTGGTATATATAGAAACACACAATACATTATGTAGAAATACGTATGTAGTATTACTGTTTTATATTTTTCCTTTAAAATTAATACTATATGCACTTTATGAGTTCAAGTACTGTACTAAATTAAAGTATATATAGAAAACTACCAAGTTTGACAGTAATTTTTTATGAAAATTTCTCGTTTTCAAGAATTCTCTTCCCCATTCCTTAGTGAATATATAAATTAAAACGTATATACATATGTACATACTGTTACTTTATCTAAACGCCTATACTTTTTGTAATTATTTGCGATCGTCATTTGCTATTACCGAAGTTT